CCACAAATTCGAAAGGAATTGGTCCATGCAAAATAAGGGATTAAAAACGAATAAATTGGAGAACAATCTTGTGATTGTCACCCCAAGAATCATCAAGGCTTCTCATCAACGCTTGGATCTTATCAACGCTTGTATCTTATCAATGTTTTTCGTTGACGCTTGGATCTTTATCTACGCTTCTCATCATTTGCAAGATTACGAAATTTCTCTCGGGGATAAATGTATCTGTTGGATTAATTGAACTTAGGATTTAAGAACATCAAGAAGAATGGGGTGGGCTAGATAAATTTTGAGCCTTATATCTTTTTTTCTTAAACCATGAACCATGGCCACGTTACAACCTTTAAAAGTCCTAATTGAAGCTAGGTTCACTATGAAAGCATACTCGGCAAGATTTGTGTTAAACTTACTCCTATGTTTGTTAAAATTGTTTCTAACTACTTCGCTTCTTCGAATATTCATCTTCTAATCTTCCATTTCTTTTTGAATAATTAATTTCGATTTCAAGAACTTGCATGTGCATCAAACGGAATTACTTTTTCAAAATGTACAATTTTATCTAAGAATCAATACTTAGCATCAAGGAGATCTCAAAATTGGTTTTATCAGAAGCCATCCTTCCCAGAAAGATCCTAACTAGGGGCAAAGCATCTAAGGGGATCCCTATAAACAAGGGCAAATACTAATGATCATAGGGGTATATCACACGAAGGTACTATTGACAAGGGGTGAGCACTCCAAGATTCAATTAACTTAGATTAAATTTTAAAGCACTATTCAATCAGGGGAATACCTTTCGGAATATCATTCCTTAATCAACTCATATCACAACCGAGTATGACTTTGTTTCCTTATGTTAACAAGCTTCTCAATGAATTGATGATCACGGGCATCCTTCTAATATCCAAATGTAGGGGTAGTGCGTATCAAGTTCATCCTACTTCACACGGGGTCCAAATCCTTTAAGCAACTTCAAGTACAAACTTTTCAAGCTTCGAATACTTGAGGAAATCTATGTCAAGTTCATGGTGAGGTAAAAGTTCTTTCTAAATATGCTCCCTCCAGATCTTGGAGATTGAGGGGCATGTCTTTCAAAATTCAAATATTAGGGAAAACTACTGTGAGGCTCGAGCAAAAGGAGTTGATTCAAAATAGTTCTTCAAAACCGAGCATTTTCAAGAGTTTTTTAATCATGGGCATATTACAAAATAGTGGGGTTATTCGTATTATGATCAAACTATTTCCAAGCTCATATCAATGAGAATATCCTCCAAGACCCTACTAACAAATTAGGGGAAAACAATTCACATAGGGGCAAGCTCTCCATGTACTTTCACAACCTCCAGTGGGTCTTTCTTCCACATCAGCAGTCTACAAGTTCAAATCGAGTATCGAGAAATCATGATAGCACAACATTCAACCACCATGTGATAAGCAGCCTTGTCACATAGGCAAACCTCTACGCTTTAATCATCCACGACCCATTACAGGGGCACCATTCAAAAAGAGCATTAAAGTTATGATCATAAAGCATAAGGCTGCATAAATCATGCATTAGAGTTCCTCGATCCAAAACCAAGCTATACTTATCATCTCATCCATCTGACAAAGTCCGACAGCATGGGTCGAGCATATTCCATAAAGCCCAATTACGCATTCGCATTTCAAAATCCAACATTCATTCACATATATCCAAGTCATTCATCACATACATCAATCATCACATTTCATGCATCAATTAAATTTTCACGCATAGCATAAAACCTTGTTTTTAAGTAAAGACAATCATCATTATTAATCAAGTTACAAATTCTATGTTGAATCTCGGCAGTAGATTCCCCTGGTTGATCACGACAGATGATTATCTGAAAGACCTCGGAAGAAGGTAATTCATAACGAATCTCGGCAGTAGATTCTCTTGGTTGATCACGACATTTGATTATCCGAAAGACCTTGGAAGAAGGTAACTAAAATTGAATCTCGGAAGTAGATTCTCCTATTTGATCACGACAGATGATTATCGGGAAGACCTCGGTAGAAGGTAATTCACAACGAATCTCGGAAGTAGATTCTCCTAGTTGATCACGACAGTTGATTATCTGGAAGACCTTGGCAGAAGGTAACTCAAATTGAGTCTCGGTAGTAGATTCTCCTGGTTGATCACGACAGTTGATTATCCATAAAACCTTGGCAGAAGGTACTTCAATAGAACCCCGACAGTAGATTCTCCTGGTTAATCTCGGCAGATGATTATCCAGAAGACCTCGGCAGAAGGTATTCTGATTGAATCTCGACAGTAGATTCCTTAGAAATCTCGGCAGTAGATTTCCCGATAAGAGCCTCACATTATACATGTACATCATGAATTTCATCTTTCAAATTTTGAATTTTCTTGGGGTTCATCATTAGCAAGCTCATCTGTGCAAACTTTATAATTCAAACTTTAAGCAAATTTGGTGTTTATTTCCTTCATGTTGATAGTTGGGGTTGATGACGACACAACCATTTCATCATGAATTTGGTGTTCTTCACGTTGATAGTTGTGGTTGAAGGCGACACAACCGACTCTGTTGTGAATTTGGTGTTTATTTTCTTCATGTTGATAGTTATGGTTAAGGACGACACAACCGACTTCATCATGAATTTGGTGTTATTCACGTTGATAGTTGTGGTTGAGGGTGACATAGCCGACTTCGTCGTGAATTTGGTGCTTATTTTTCTTCATGTTAATAGTTGTGGTTGAGGATGACACAACCGACTTCATCATGAATTTGGTGTCCTTCACGTTGATAGTTGTGGTTAAGGGCGACACAATCGACTTCATTGTGAATTTGGTGTTTATTTTTCTTCATGTTGATAGTTGTGGTTAAGGACGACATAACCGACTTCATCATGAATTTGGCGTTCTTCACATTGATAGTTGTGGTTGAGGATGACACAACCAACTTCATCATGAATTTGGGGTATATTTGCTTCATGTTAATAGTTGTGGTTGAGGACGACACAACCGACTACATCATGAATTTGGTATTCTTCAAGTTGGTAGTTGTGGTTGAGGACAACACAACCGACTTCGTCGTGAATTTGGGGTTTATTTTCTTCATGGTGATAGTTGTGGTTGAGGATGACACAATTGAATTCGTCATGGATTTGGTGTTCTTCATGTTGATAGTTGTGGTTGAGGACGACACAACCGACTTCATCGTGAATTTAGTGTTTATTTTCTTCATGTTGATAGTTGTGGTTGAGGACGACACAACCGACTTCATCATCAAATTGGTGTTCTTCACGTTGATAGTTATGGTTGAGGATGATTTACAACCGACTTCATCATGAATTTTTGGGGTATATTTGCTTCATGTTGATAGTTGTGGTTGAGGATGGCACAACCGACTTCATCATGAAATTGGTGTTCTTCACGTTGATAGTTATGATTGAGGACGACACAATCGACTTCATTGGGAATTTGGGGGGTATATTCGCTTCATGTTGATAGTTGTGGTTGAGGACGACACAACCGACTTCATCATGAAATTGGTGTTTTTCAAGTTGATAGTTGTGGTTGAGGACGACACGAATGATTGTATCGTGGATTTGGGGTATATTCGTTGCATGTTGATAGTTGTGGTTGAGGACGACACAACCAACTTCTTCATGAATTTGATGTTCTTCACGTTGATAGTTGTGGTTGAGGACGACACAACTGACTATATCATGAGTTTGGGTATATTTGCTTCATATAGATAGTTATGGTTGAGGACGACACAACCGACGCCATCAGAGAATTTTGGGTTCCATTGCCTCAAACTTAACATATTCCATCCGGCTATCGAGTCCCGGTAAATATGCGAAATTATGCAATCCCTTAGATACTGACGAGTTATCCGCGTTGTCGTATCTAAATTCTATCAAAACTTTGGTTCAAATGCTGGTAGGATGATACATCATCATCTATGCCTATTCTTCATACTCATGGGAATGTTGTACAATATATCCTTATTATATCTCAGACAAATCTTGGGGTTTTCCAATATTTAATAAACTTTCGATTAAATGTGTGAGACCTGCATATTATCGCACTATTTAATCAAAAGATAATTAAATAGGGACAGCTGTCATACCCCAAATTTGTCTTATCCTTATTTATGCTTTAGTTTCCTTTAAGTAAATCGTATTGTTTAATTTTTATGGGGAGGTTAAAGCATAAAAATAGGAGTGTGTCAATTTAAAGTGAGCCATCAATGTTTGATAACCCATTAGGATTTAAAATGAGAGTCTATTTGTAAAGTTAAGGGAGATATATATTTTTTAAAGGGGGTGTGAACAAAATCTTCTTTCACAAAGCCCATTTAGATTGATTGGTGTATAAAGTATTTTATTTTTTTTTGAAATCTAACACACTTAAAACTTCTGGCACATTTTTATTTTTATTGATTTATTAACATTATTGATAAAATTATCTTTATTAACATTATCATTTTGTTTTGATTAATAATACTGATACTTATCATTATTAAAATTAATTATTATTGTAATTAGTGATTATTCTTGATATTTTTACACTAATTATTAACACTACTATTTTTTTAATTATACTTTTTAGTTAAAACATCATATTGAGAGCTTAGTAAAGATTTGATTTCTGTTTATAGATTTAGAAAGAAGTATTTCATGGTCTAAGACTAGTCAATTGAAAATAAAAACACTTTTTGTTATGATTCAGAAAGAAAACACATGCCCATTTGTTTTGAATTTTTGTTTCAAAAGTGGTCCAAATCAGGGCTACAAACGTGTACTGTAGCAACGAGCACACGCGTGTGTGAGAATCATGTTGTTCTAAATCACCTTAACTCTATAAACGAAATCAGAAAGCAGCTTAATTGGAGAAACGGATCTCAGCAAAACTGGAAACAAAGTCATAACTCAAAACAGAAACATTCAATAATGTTCTTAATTACAGACAACATTTCAAAATACATGCCTAATTGAAAAAACCCTAATCAATTACAATTGAAAAATTCCCAAATCAGCAATAACACATTAACTAATTTCCTAAATTGATGTCCTAAGGAGGCTATAAAATCAAAGCAACTGTAGAACAGAGAGGGGACAGAAGAAAACAGAGGAAGAAAAACAGTAAAGAAAAAGATACAAATCAAAATTTTACAGGGGAGCATTTCTTCTCCCAGTCTCCGCCCTCACCGCTACCTCAAACCGCCGTCGGCATCCTATTCACCCGCCGCGACCACTGTTCTGGAGACCTGCGAACACGAAAAGAGACGAAGGAATTAGAAATCAGGATTGGATAACACGAATACGGAAAGGGGCAGTTGAAGGTAAGAATCACTTAGTTTTTTATTCTTCGTATTTTTACACCCCCAACTAATATTTTTTTATTTATTATTTTTGTTTATAATTTCATTTATATATTTATTTATTTATTTTCTTTTTTTAATTTATATATTTATATATTTATATATTTATATTCTTACAACATTATATTATTATTTGCTATTATAAATAATTAATTATTTCAAACTCACTTAAAATATGGTATTATTTATTTCCAATAAATCATATCTTTTAAGTCGTGCACGTAAAAAATATTTTTCACCGTATAAATTAATTTAATATTTTACATTAAAATATTAAAACTCGCGCGATCCATCAAATTACTCTATCCGTAAGCGACACGTAGCCAATATTTGCCCGCGTGATAAGGAGACTATATCAGAATCTTTCGCTATACGTCTGAAAAATACTCGAACAAACACTAAATTATTTTTTCGTAATAAATTAATTCAACATTAATTTTCAAAAAAAAGGAATGCGAATATATTTCTATCAACTGTGCACTTGGTTTAACAAAACTCTGTTATTCACATTCTTAGACTACGTGTGCGAGAAATTCAAATATTATTCGTAATCCATAAAAAACACAAACAAAACTGCGAACTACGACATGAGACTCTGATTTCTCTTAAGAGGAGACGTATGCATACTATCAAAAATCATGACGAGTCTCCCAAACTAAAATTCAAACCCTTTTTTCTATATTAAAACAATAAAAATCCTATTTCCTAAGCATCGCGCTTCTAAACCTATTATTCTTGCGAATAATATAGATAAGGGATGCCTAACACCTTTCCCTCGTCTAGAAACGAGTCTAAATTTAGAATCTCTGAATCTTGTAAGATTATTCATTTATACTCTCATCTTTTAGGATAAAAATTAAAGATGACAATTCTGAATTTATAACTATAGTACATTGATAAGGTTGTGTTTTTAGTTTGAATACCTTGACTAAAATTTGATGACGAAGGTAATGAACCATTTTAGAAAAATTGATTAATTTCCTCTAATTAACAAAAATACTGATAATGTCCAATGTCAATAAAGCATTCGGGGAAACTCGAAACTAAACCAATCACTTCCATTACTAAATAAGTTAGTAAAATTTGATCAGTTTTTTATGAGTTTCCTCAGGGTTTCGTTTAAGTTCTGCCCCGGGTAGGCTTCTCAGATCATCATCCGATTGTTGTTCAATTGTCTGATCCGAATATGACAAAGAGAGATTGGAGATTCCGTTTCGAAAGTGCTTGGACTTTGGAGGAGCAATATCATGAGTTTGTTGGTAATGTTTGACAAAGGAATGAAAATGTTTTGGGTAATTTGAAAAGTTTCAGAGATAATGTTAGTCACTTGAAAAATGTTTTTGTTAGAAGAGTGGAAAGGCATAAGCAGCACCTGATGGGATTAAATTCTAAATCTCTTGCATTGACACGTCTTTTATTATATGCCATATAATAGTATTATATTTCCCTGTCAACAAATTATGATGGCATAACTTAAATTTAATTTTCATTAATATCCTGAGTCAATTACCTAATGACAAACACAAATCTCAATATTCATTGGTACACCAAAACTCAAAATACATTGGTCCAACTCGCCATTTGCATCCCTAAAGCTCAATCTCTATTGGCAATGTAAACCAAAATTTCATCTTCATCCAAGTCCAATGTGGATTGACATTTAAAGCAAAAAAAAAAAAAAAACATTAACTTTTTCCTAAACTCAATACTCATGACCACTCCAAAGTTCAATAATCATTGACAATCTGTTGGAACAAAGGATTCAAGAAAGATGAATGTAGTGAAAAACAACAAGAAAAAAAAAAGAGAAATTGTTGAGTTAGTTAGTGTAACTAACTCTTTAAAACTGAATCTGTTATTTTGTTATTGTAGTATATGTGAATTATAAATTATAACCTTTTATATAGGCAACAAGCTCAGACTCAAATACAAACTAAAACCCAAATAGCAACTAACAAGAATTGACTAACTAACACACCCGCTTAATTCATGTTATCAAGACTTCTCATCTCAATGCCTTTCTTCAACTCTTCGAATCTCACTTTCTTCAGAGGTTTGGTGAATATGTCAGTTAGTTGCACTTCTATCTTACAATGTTCTATTTCAAGCTTCCTTTTGTTTACTTGGTCTCTCAGAAAATGGTACCTTCGCTCAATGTGCTTACTTCGACCATGACACATTGGGTGATTCGCAAGATTTATTGCTGACTTGTTATCAACAAATAACTTCATCTTCGACTCCATTATTCTGAGCTCTTCAAGTAGCATTTCGATCCATGATGTTTGGCATGTAGCATATGATGCAGCCACATATTCTGCTTCGTATGAAGACAAAGCCACAATGCTTTGCTTCCTCGAACTCCAGGAGATTGGAGCTTCTTCGATCATGAAGATGTACCCTGCAGTACTCTTCTTTTCATCTTGATCTCCACTGAAATCTGAGTCAGTGTATCCATGCACTTCGACCTCTGTACTGTTCTTCGATCCTTTTGGCAACAACACGCCATGATCAACAGTTTCCTTGATGTATCTCAACACCTTCTTTACTGCTATGAGATGAAATTCCCGAGGCTTCTCCATAAATCAGCTCAATAATCCCACACTTTGACAAATATCTGGTCTAGTATTGCAAAGATACCTCAATGATCCAATGATTTATTTGTAAAGGGTCGAACTTACAAACTCATCATTTGATTCCTTCTTCAGCTTTGCTCCAGTCTCTAATGGAGTAACAGCTGACTTACAGTTGCTCATATTAAACCTCTTCAATATATCTTGAGCATACTTCGTTTGATGCAAGAAAACTCCTCCATCGATGTCTTTGAATTCCATTCCCAGAAGTAGGAAAGATTCCCTAAATCAGACATTTCGAATTCCTACATTAATTTTCACTTTACCTTCATTATCTCAGCTTCATCTGCTCCTGTAATGAGTAAGTCATCAACATAGAGGCATAAAATGATTCGATTGACACTTTCGACATCATTTACATACACTCCATGTTCAGAGAAACACTTTGTGAATGCTGCTTCGATTAGGAAGCTATCTATCCTTTTATTCCAAACTATGGGAGCTTGCTTCAAGTCATAGAGAGCCTTCCTCAATCTGTAAACCTTCGACTCCTTCCCTTTGACGTTGAAGCCTGGTGGTTGAGTGACATAGACTTCTTCTTCCAGAGGCCCATTCAAGAATGCTGACTTCATATCAAGTTGGTGAATTTTCCATCCTCTATTTGCAGTTATCGAAACAACAATCCTGATTGTTTCAATCCTAGCAACAGACGCATACACTTCATCGAAGTTAATACCTGGTGTGATACGGTGGGAGAACTGACTATGGTTTTGTGTTTGTTTTCGCAAATGTTTCAGTTGAGCAAGAGTCGCCACCGACTTTTTATTTTATCCTAAGGAAAGGTTTAAAAAGCACAGCAAAAACCTTTGAGATTTTTTCTTGGGTTCGGGGAGTAGATTATAGAAAGGGAAGGTATTAGCACCCTTTCTATCCATGGTTATCCATGAGCTCTTAGGTACTTGCTTAGATCAACTTGCCTTGGTTTTCAATTGTTTGAAATGGTGCTTTGTGCGTGGTTTTGAAAATGTTTTGAAAAAGATGCCTTATCTAGGCTACCCTTGTAACAATTCTTTACTCGAATGTTTTACAAAAGGTGTTTGTCTTTTTGAAAAGATGTTTCAAGGTTTTTGAAAGTTTGTTTTGAAAGTGTTTGTGAAGTGTGGTTTGAAAAATAGGCAAGTGTTTTATTTTGCAAGTTGACAAGTACTTAAGAGCTATCTACCCTAAAGTTCTCAAAGATTTTTGTTATGTTTTAACCCTTTTAACAATTTTGTTCCACCATTGCATTTGATGGACAATCTTGTGTTAGGATGTGAAAGGGACGGGCGCGGGTCATCGTTTAGACCATGATTGCAATAGTGCTAAGTATCTTTGGGCAATTTTTCTTTTAAGGGACTTGATCATTTTAGGCAACTTTTCGAAAGCGTCATCGAGGGACTATGATCATTTGATTGTTTGTTTTACCCAAAGAAACCTAACATGCAATATGACCCATTTATTGAAGGCAACAAGTGGAATACCCTAGGGGTGCAAGTGTGATATGTGTTGTCCATATTCATGCTTGTTTATCTTGAAATTAGGTCAAACTATTTTTGTTCGTTTTATTTGCATACAAACCCTAATTCTAGCATGGTATATTTAGAAAGCGTTTAAAGTGCGAAAAGTAAAATTCCTACACTATTACAACACAATATGGGAAGGGGGGTACAAATGTTCAAATGGGGGATATTGACAAGGAAATTAAACCTAGCTATTACATCAATATTGAATTATTTACAAGGTAATTAATTTGCACAAATTAAATAGAAATAAAATAAATATGCAAGATGCAAAAAGGGTTTTTATATGTATGAAAAAAAAGTATTTTTTATGTCAAGTAAATAAAATAAAAAAATATATTATTTTTGGAGCTTTTTAATGTTTAGGGTAAAACCCTAATTTCTTAAATAAAGGGTATTATTTATTTAAGGTGTACAATAATTAATAAATATATACAAAAATAAAATAAAAATGAAGTATATTCATAAAAAGTATTTTTTTATGTCAAATATTAATAAAATAAAAAATGTATATATTTTATGTATTATTTACCTAAATATACTAATATATATATAAATATCTTTATTATTTACTAAATAAATATTATATATACAAAATAATAATATTTAATATTTATAAAAAAAAATATTTTTTTGATACAAAATGTTTTTCAAAAGAGAAAATGAAATAAAA